GACCCATTTAGCAGACGTCAGCCTGTTTAAGGCTCTGATATCTATTCTGTGTGACTTACAGCAGTTATGACATGGTCTGATTTTCTCACCCAATAAAGGAATATTTACTATATCAGTCTACTCTTCATTTTATCAGACACAGTTACCACAGCTCGTACATTTTCTTTTTACACATGTATGTAAGCATTGAGCCAAATGTAATAATGCCAACATATTAAACGAACAATATTTGTCTCTTATGTATAATACATCTGTATATACACTTTTGAGTGAAGATTTAAGGTGATAGGAAATATAAATAACTGCAGTGTGTGTGTGTGTGTGTGTGTGTTTTATGTGTATGTACTCATCATATATTACTGTCTATTAAAGTCCTGTAGTAATTTGTCCATCAGCCTTTGGAAGGTGGCCGGTGCCCCATGTAGGCCAAATGGCATCACCGTGAACTGGAACAGGCCGGCAGGTGTCCTGAAGGCGGTGTACGGTCGAGAAGACTCCTCCAGTGGCACTTGCCAGTAACCTTTGCAAAGATCCAAGGTGGTGATGTACCTGGCCGCTCCGATCTTCTCCAGCAAATCCTCGGTTCGAGGCATGGGGTAGGCATCAAACTCTGAAATGGAATTAAGCTTCCGGAAATCAATGCAGATGCGTAGGGAGCCATCTTTGAAGATGATGACCACCGGGCTACACCACTCTGAGCAGGACGGCTCTATCACCCCAAGCTCCAGCATCTTCTCCACCTCCTGTCGCAGTTCATCCACTAGGTGTTGTGGAACCCGGTATGGACGTTGGCGGATGGGATGTCCATCCTTTAGGCGTATCACATGTTCGACAAGGGTGGTCCTGCCGGGGTTAACTGAACACAGAGATGGAGTCTCCCAAAGGACTTGGAATAGCTCAGCAGCCTGCTGTGGGGTAAGATGAGTCAGCACCGGAGACATCGGATCGGCTCCCTGCTCGGGTTCTGGCTTCCCTTCTCTTGGCACTTCTCTTGCCATCAGAGCTTTCGCAGGGGCCTGGTGGGAACGCTCTTCCCATTCTTTCAGGAGATTCACATGGTAAGTCTGCTTCGGTTTCCTCTTTTCAGGATGATGAATCTCATAGGTCACTGGCCCCATTCTGCGAAGAACTGTGTATGGCCCTTGCCATTTCGCCAGAAGTTTACTGTTGGCTGACGGGAGAAGTAACAACACCTTTTGACCAGGTTGAAATTCACGTTGCCGGGCCTGTTGGTCATACCAGGTCTTCTGGCTTCGTTGAGCGTCTCGCAGGTTGACCTCTCCATAGTATCTCCCCAACCGATCTCTCATTTCCAGCACAAATTGCACCACTCCTTTATCATTTGGAGCAGAAGCAGGAGACTCCCAACCCTTCCGGAGGAGATCCAATGGCCCCTGCACATCCCAACCATAGAGTAGCTCGAATGGTGAGAAACCAGTGGAACTTCTCTGTACGCAAACAGCAGGAAGGGTAGCCACTGGTCGCAGTCTTTCCCAGTGTCTGACACAAACTTCTGCAGCATCCTCTTCAGAGTTTGGTTGAACCTCTCCACTAACCCATCTGTCTGTGTATGGTAGGGTGACGTCCTGATGGCAGAGATGCCTAGCTGGTTGTGGAAGAGCTGCATCAACCTAGAGGTAAAGTTAGTCCCTTGGTCGGTCAAAATCTCATCTGGTATCCCCACCCGGGAGAACAGCTGTACTAGTGCACGCAGAACATTGGGTGCCATGAACGCACGCAGGGGGAACGCTTCTGGGAAACGAGTCGCATAATCACACACCACCAAAATGTACTGATGACCCCGACTACTTTTTACCAGAGGACCCACAATGTCCATAGCTATCCTACGGAAGGGGGTGGAGATGACCGGAAGTGGCTGTGGCAGGGCCCTGTCTGACTTGCGAGCTGGACAAGTTTTCTGGCAGGTAGGGCATGTACGGCAATATTTTTGTATGTCTGTGTACATTGATGGCCAAAAGAAACGTGAGCTAACTCACATATAGGTTTTTTGGCGACCCAGATGACCTGCCCAGGGGAGGGTATGTGCTAATTGCATAATGAGGGGTCTACAACTAGAAGGTATCACAAGCCATTGGTGGTCACCGTCAACTGCATACAACACATTTTTGTCAACAATGAACTTCTCTTTCCCTCCCCATTTCCCAGTTCCCCCTTCAGTCACATTAGCAAAGAAAACTTTCAACGTTTCATCCTCCCTTTGCAACAAAGTGATATTTTCTGGTACATCCCATTTCATGCTCTTAGTGTCCGGCCCCTTTGACCATAGCTACTTCTCAATGCGGCGTTGGCGGCGGGATTTTCTTGTCCCATTAGTGCCACCCTCGCACAGAGTACTGTCAACGTCTGGCAAGGGTTGGCATCCAGCCTTCATTTGGGCTCTAGTGACCACTGGGCCAGACACGTTTAATTTAGTATTCCCCTTATCCCCCACATCAGTCTCTGTCCACTGTTCTTCTTTTTCTTGCAGCAAGTCCATGAGTACAGGCAAGTCCATCCCCAGAATAACCTCTACAGGCAAGTTCTGTACCACCCCAACTGACAACAGGTATGGCTGTTCATTAATAGTCACTGTTACCTCCACTTTTGGGTATGGATGTTTATCACCATGCACACATGGTAAATGGTAAATGGTCTGTATTTATATAGCGCTTTACTAGTCCCTAAGGACCCCAAAGCGCTTTACATATCCAGTCATCAACCCATTCACACACTGGTGATGGTAAGCTACATTGTAGCCACAGCCACCCTGGGGCGCACTGACAGAGGCGAGGCTGCCAGACACTGGCGCCACCGGGCCCTCTGACCACCACCAGTAAGCAACGGGTGAAGTGTCTTGCCCAAGGACACAACGACCGAGACTGTCCAAGCCGGGGCTCGAACCGGCAACCTTCCGATTACAAGGCGAACTCCCAACTCTTGAGCCACGATCGCCCTTAAAACTTCTTCCTGTCTGCTATAGTCCACACTGTTCACTGGTACCAAACTATGCTTAATTAAAGACATAAAACTACCAGTGTCCAGAGAAGCAGTAGCCTGCAGACCATTGACCATTGACCTTTACTTTTTTATAGCGTTGCACATCCACTGGCTGGACCCTTGTGGGCTCCATCTCCAGCCGCAATAATAACAAAGAAAGTCCTTACCCGCTCCTCGTAAGTTTGATGCCTTGGGGTTTTCTGGTGGCTCTGGGTTGCTCTCCCTTTTCAGAAGACCCGATGATGGGAGTGGTGGTCGCTGTGGCGTCCCAGATGAGCATGCAGGTGGTGCTCCTTTACGCGCATTGAAGTACTGTGACACCAGCTTAGTAGCGGTCAGTCCATCTGCTGGCTCATGCTCCCTCACCCAGGTCCTCACCTCCCCTGGAAGTACCCGGATTAACTGCTCCAAGATGATAGCTTCTCCCATCTCTTCTTTAGTATGCTGCTCTGGTCGGATCCAGCGCCGATAGAGGCCCTTCAGGCGATAATAGGTCTCAGTGGGGCTCTCACCAGGTGGAACTGTATTGGACCGGAACGTCTGCCGATACGTTTCAGGGGAAATGTCAAATTTGGTTAGCAACGCCGCTTTTAAATCTTCATAACGATGGGCTCTTTCTTCATCCATTGCAGTGTAGGCCTCCAACGCCTTCCCCGATAGCAGTGGAACCAGACGACAGGCCCATTCACTCTCTGGCCATCTCCAGGTTTTGGCAACTCGCTCAAAACGCAACAAATAGTTCTCAATGTCTTCCCCCATCTGATAGGGTGGAATTTTTGGCCCAGCAGATCGCATCCACTCTGAGACTGACTGGTTGAGGCTGTTGATCACTGCTTGTGACTGACGAGAGGGAACCTCCTCTGGGGGATCCCGGTATCCTCTTTGACGTGCAGGTGTAGGCAGTACCATTCTGGGGCTGCTTGCTGTTGCGGTGCTTGGCGTGGCCGTTGCTGCTGTGGTGCTTGCTCCGGCTGGTGCTTGGGCTGGACTTTGCTGACCAGCAAAATCTGAATGCAGCTGAGCGTTGGGAGGGGAAACAGTCCTCAGCCCCCTGAGTTCTGTCAAAAAAACCTCCTCTCTCCTTTGCTGTCCCGCCAGGAAGTCCCTCATCATCGCAATCAGCTCTCCATTTGGGTCACGTGCTGAGGTCGAAGCTGTAGGCAATTCTGGAAAAATCCTGCCGGAAACCTCCTCCTCCTCCTCTGCTGAAGAAGATGACGCCGGCACTGTGTCCCATGCCAGCTCCTCTGCTGTCTTCTCCACTGGAAGCTCATGCTGCTGGGACCGCAGCCCTGTGCGCTTAACTGGGAGGCGCGTTTTCCTCTTCCGACTAGCAATCCCACTTCTGACACCATATGTCGCGGGGTCCTCTCCTAAACTTCTCCCGAACAAATGCAGGCGTAGTCAGGAAGCATTCAGTGTGGATAATTTATTCTGCCGGCCTCCCAGGTGCACAAAAGATTATTTACAAAGAAAATAGGAAACTAACTTAAGTCAACACAAAACAAATATCTATATACAAAACACAGTCTGCATGTTACCCTCTCTGTAACATCTCACTGAAAGAACCCAGGTAGGCCCTGACAGCCTTCTTTTATACCCCATGGCCCCTCCCACTAGGCATAATAGTCATCTCTTTATTATTTCTTTTACCAAACAATCTTTCCCCCTCAGCTTATTTCCAGCTGTATTCCTACAATACATATATGTATATACAGACATTTATGGCCAATTCCAGGCAGCCTACAGTGTTTCACAATAACAAAAAAACACAAACAAAAAATAATGCAGTTCACGCGACCTTTTCAAGTGCGCGTGAACCCACTATTTGAACCCGAGAACACCATACCATCGGCTTGCATAACCCCCGTATAATCGGCGATCACAGCTAGTCTCCGCGACCGGCTTTATTAAAGGTAAGTGGGAAAATATGTTGGCCACCTTCTGCACTGCTCAAAATATACCTCTCACCCCTTTTGTTTATCTGCCCGGTCGACGAAAAGATGCGCAGTAATTGTAGAAACTAATGGTGGTGGTGCATGTATGCACCCAGATCAGCTGTCTGCGGCCCGGGACGGTGTAACTCCGTCACAACAGGTAACAATAACGCCTGTACCAGTTGTTGTATAGCAGAGGTGCTCAAGTATAAAAACAATAATAAACACAATGCTTTGGTTCTATAACATTTTTCTATCATTACTTTATTTTGGATTAGGTGCATGAGCTTTTAAGTATGGATAATTAAATAATAGATTAATGAAACACCAGAGTGTGCCCTGTTCTGAGATGTACAGCAAGTGGAGAGTGACAGATGAGATGAGGAGATGGAAGAGTGACTCACAGGCAGAGCCGAGTTCATTTCCCACAGTTTTGTTGTTTAATGCTTCCGAGCGCTGTCACCAATCTTTGCATTTTATTATCATCTCATAACACTTCTTTAATCAGCTACCATCTCTGCTGTGGACTTTTTACTGTCTACAGTCTCAAAGCAACACAGACCTCCATCACTATCTGCAGCAGGAGCAGCAGCAACCCCTCAACAGCAACAGTGTTGTTGTTATTCAGCCTGGTTCCATGTGCCCCTTTTGAACTTTGAGCACCCGTCCCTTCCAGCATCTCTGCACGGCCCTGCTCAGAATCATTCATCTGTTTTAGGTTGACATTTTATATGTTTTGTAGAATAACAGGACAAACTGTGAGACTGGAAAGACCTGAGTTTCATGCTCTGTTTTGTGACGTAGTGTGTAATGCTCAGCAGTATTATCATTTTAACTGGTTCTGTGCGCGATCTGAAGACACTAAGTGTTTGTGAGAGAACATAAAACTGTTTTGATGCATTTGTGAGGATTTACCTGATGAGTTTTAAGTTTTGTGATTGTAGCTTGAAAATTAAATTTAATGTTTAGAGTTATGAGAAAGAAGGTGGAAGCATTAAAGTGATGTATCTTAACAGTTGTAAAATGTAAATGACCAAATTGGATTATTGGAATATAGTTTTATTGTGTTTCGTTGTTTTTTATGTAAAAATTATAATATTAATATGTTATGAAATTATGATTTAAAGAATTCATATTGTTGAGTTTGTTTGTCTCAGAGTCAGAGAGCCGTGTCTCTCTACAGTCAGAGGTTTTTGTACGGCGCCTCAATGAGTTTGTATCACTGTGGTACACGTTCGGTGGAGGAACCAGACTGCAAGTTGGAAGTAAGTCAAACTTAAACCTCATTTACTTTAGCAAATTTCTTTCTTGTGGTTATCTTAACTTTTCTGTTCAATGTGCCAGAAAAAACCTCAGGAAAATAGTTTTTAGATAAATTTTCATGAAGAAACAAAGTTAGCTTCAGAATAAATGTTAAAATCAATATTAAACACAATATAAAACATCAGAGTGGACTTGAGGATATTTTACATATACATACATCTGGTTAAGTCTCGAGAGCTTTTAGTTTTAATCCAGTCTGACAGTCAGAGAGCCGTGTCTCTCTACAGTCAGAGGTATTTGTACGGCGCCTCAATGAGTTTGTATCACTGTGGTGGACTTTTGGTGGAGGAACCAGACTGGATGTTGGAAGTAAGTCAGCCTTAGAGCTTTTTCTTTTTTTAATGTAATTTTCTTTTCTTTAATTTCATTTAATATGAAAGGCTTGGAAACTTTTTATGTAACTGATTAATTATTTTATTCATAAATTTTGTCCTAAGAAACAAAGTCAGCTTTGGAAATGAATATTCAGACACTCGGGACAATTTCCAATGAAAATCTGGGATGTTTCATATTATTCATTATTATTTCTGGTTCTGATGATAAAGTTGTATTTTGAGGGCTTGTAGGTTTAGTTCAGTCTGACAGAGTCAGAGAGCCGTGTCTCTCTACAGTCAGAGGTTTTTGTACGGCGCCTCAATGAGTTTGTATCACTGTGGTGGACTTTTGGTGGAGGAACCAGACTGGATGTTGGAAGTAAGTCAAACTTAAACCTCATTTACTTTAGCAAATTTCTTTCTTTTGATTATCTTAACTTTTCTGTTCAATGCGCCTAAAAAAACCTCAGGAAAATAGTTTTTAGATAAATTTTCATGAAGAAACAAAGTTAGCTTCAGAATAAATGTTAAAATGAATATTAAACACAATATAAAACATCAGAGTGGACTTGAGGATATTTTACATATACATACATCTGGTTAAGTCTAGAGAGCTTTTAGTTTTAATCCAGTCTGACAGAGTCAGAGAGCCGTGTCTCTCTACAGTCAGAGGTTTTTGTACGGCGCCTCAATGAGTTTGTATCACTGTGGTGGACTTTTGGTGGAGGAACCAGACTGGATGTTGGACGTAAGTCAGCCTTAGAGCTTTTTTTTTTTTTTAATGTAATTTTCTTTTCTTTTATTTCATTTAATATGAAAGGCTTGGAAACTTTATGTGTAACTGATTAATTATTTTATTCATAAATTTTGTCCTAAGAAACAAAGTCAGCTTTGGAAATGAATATTCAGACACTCGGGACAATTTCCACTGAAAAAAGTTAAACCGCACAGAGTGAAGATAAAGATCTCTGGTGTTCTTATTGTATCATATCATTTACAACAATGTAAGCAATAAAAAAAACACACATGAGGTAAGTAGTGGTATTGAGTTTCTTATCCAGAACAAGCTGTTTATTAAGAAGAACTGATGATGTTGAAGCTTAACATCTTTTAAAATTGTTGACACATCTTTGTTTTGTTTTATTATTTCCAGTGTAGTTTGAACATATTTCAGCTCAAACTGTGTGATGATTCTCTCTGTGCTGATATGCATGAGAGGTTTCTTAAAGGGAAGTGAAACAATGTGTGAGTGAATGACTGGTGGAGCAGAAAAAACACCTGACAGAAACTTCTTAACGGAGAAAATCAAATTGTGGTTCCTGTCCTCTAAGCTGATTGGTGTTTCCTAGGTGATGCCCGCCCCGCCCTGAAGGTGCTGGGTCCCTCCAGTGAGGAACTGAAACAGGGGGAGGCTACAGTCATGTGTGTGGCCAACAAGGGCTTCCCCTCAGACTGGAGTCTGTCCTGGAAGGTGGATGGCAGTGGCAGCATCAGCTGGGAGGAGAGCAGGAGCCCCGTGGTGCAGGAGAACGACGGCCTCTACAGCTGGAGCAGCACCCTGAGGCTCCCTGCAGACCACTGGATGAAGGTGGGCTCTGTGACCTGTGAGGCCACCCAGGGCTCCCACACTGTGGCCTCAGAGCCACTGATGAGAGACCAGTGTCCCCAGTCCTGACCTGACTAACTGTGACTTTCATGCTGGTCTTACTTTCAGTCTGCATTCTGTAGCTTTAAAAAAAAAAAAATCGAATTTCTTCTCTCATTTCTCATTGCTTTGTTTAAAGTTGGTTTTAAAAGTTTTAAAGAATAAAAAAATATCTATATTAAATAAGGACTGAGTCTTTGTCTTACTTTTGTGGTGATGTGAATTTTAAACTCTAAATAATGATTTCCAGGGTTCTAATTGGAAACCAGTGTGCTATCTGTAGTCAATATGAGTCAGTAGAATTAAGCCACTTTCAATACATGAAGTAAAGCAAAGTTTATGTTAAAGAGTAAGTGCGAAGGGGAATTGAGAGACACTGCCATTACTAAGCAGGATATTAAAGACATTACATTTATGCAAATTCATTGCATGCTGTGTAATGAAATGTTTCAGCATGTTGCAGTTTGTTGTATAAAACACTGAGCAGTGTTGAATTCTCCCAATTCTTTGAATCTTTGGGCTGAAGGAGGGACAATACTCGGTGTATAAATGCTCAATCAACAATCATTTATTTCCATACAATTCAACAGTCAGAGCATTACAACGTCCAGACGGGAGAGATGCTTGCAGAGGTTCGACAGCATGTCTCAAAATGGTGACGGGTTGCTCAGCTTTTTATAGTCTCTAGTGGCCCCCAGCTAGTCGTAAAAGCCAAAACATCACATTTTTTCTCGGTTACAGCGCCTAAGTTATGACCTCGGCAGTTGTTTCTCTGCTTTCTGTAAGGTGGGGGTGTGGAATGTGGTCTATCTATCTCCCCTGTCTTTAGACACAGAGTCTCCTGCTTACAACCTTCTCTTCATGATTCAACAATTAAGGATGTCAAGAAAACAGTGTAACACATTCCCAGCAGATCAAGGATACAGAGTGATGCACATTTATCTAATGAACTAATATGTGAATATGTTCTGTTAACTCAAAAGTATAATGAGAACTAAACTACATACAGCTCACACACTCTATATTAAAGGGTATAATATGATCTACAGCAGTATTCTAATTCAACTACTTTGATTACATATATAAGGTAACATATAATAACAGAATAATCTAATAGCAGGTGGAGCAGAAAAGCGCTGTACAAGAATGAGTCTATTCTCGTGATCAGTGTTGGGGCAGGTATTTTAAGAAGTAATTTAATATACAGAGTTTTTTTGTTAAAAGTATTCAGTACGTTATTTTGTTTTGTTTTTTTTCTGTAAAATCACCTGAAACACAACATGTCATAACTGTCATTGAACAATATGAACTTGTAGGCTACAGTCTCTCACACCAACATAAATCCCTATCCTAACGACGACACACATATTTTCTTTCTCTTGGCATTTAGGTATATGAATACCTGTCAAGGGTCCTTGACATACAGGTCTCCGACTCGGAGGACAAAAATTAATGTCCTGTGTCTTAGGAGGGCAGGATTGCTTTGCTTTTTCTTTATACGATGCTTCGCAGTATTAGTTTTGCCTAACAACCTGTTTTTGACTCCTAAATTGTCATTAATGCAACCGCTCTACATAACAGTCAGTGTAACTGATTATAAATCTTTTATTCATGAACCTACACATTACGCTTTATTTACTAGTTGTATGTATTTTAACAGAGCAAGAGGTGGACCACACGTTTGAAGAGCTGCTGGTCTTTATAACTGGGGCTGACTTACTTCCACCACTGGGGTCCTGCAACATAGACTTTTATGATCAGGAGTCGGGGATACGCATCGATGTGCAGCTTATCCCTGTATCTTCCGAGACGTGTTGCATACAAGGATCAATTTAAAGATCTTATGAACACTGCATTAAAAGGATTCCTGGGATTTGGAAAGCTGTAGCTGCATTTACATGAACTGATGCTGGAAAGCTGTGGTTAAAACCTGTGGCCTTTTGGGAGGAAGTTGTGCTATTCTAAGTGTTCTGAAATGGGATTGCTCCTGGGCTTCTTCACATTGTACATTTTAAAAGTGTTTAGTATAAAAGTTTTTTGTTTTTACAAATGTGACTGTATATAGTTGTATTTATAGTCCTGTTAAGACAGGGTAACGAGGGAATACACCACAGAAGGCAGACACAGCTGAACCTCATCAGACATGACGAATACACTCACACAGAACGCAGAATCCAAATAAAACAGGGAACCAGAGAATAGCTCTGAGACACGGGTTGACAGAACATAAGGAACAGAGGGACGAAGAAATGCGACTGGAAAACAGAAAATAAATGAAACGAATCATATTAATAATCAAAAAACATGAATAGGAAGTCAACAGGTCTTTGGACCATGGCAGTGTTGAAGAGCAAAAAAGAGAAAATCTAAAAACCTGAGAAAGAAAAGATGGAAATTTGATCATTTGACTGATTTGGACTTAAAGTTTCTATTTGAAGTATTTGCTAAATTGTGCAGATAATTATGACTCACTGACTTTTGGTGAGTTCATTTAGTGTTAGATTTTTTTTCTTAAAGAAATATGATTTTTGATAATGATCGATATTTAGAAATTGAGATTTATTTGAGCTGGTATGAAGCAGAAGTCAAAGGTCATAAATGATTTGTTAAAAATAAATGATATATTTCCAACTTTCTTTTCCTTTAGCATTAATGACATTTTCATTGTGTGTGTGTGTGTGTGTGTGTGTGTGTGTGTGTGTGTGTGTGTGTGTGTGTGTGTGTGTGTCCTCAGTGAACTGTATCAGCCTCTGCAGTATCTTCCAGCTGCAGCAGTCACTTCAGTTTCTGTTCAGTCTGACTGAGGGAGGTTTTTGTACGACTGTTTTTCACTGTGTGAACACATACTGACTGTTAGGATAGTGACCACTCTGACAGTAATAAACTGCTGCATCTTCAGCCTGGACTCCACTGATGGTCAGAGTGAAGTCAGAGTTTGATCCACTGCCTGTGAAACGAGCTGGAATCCCTGATTGTCGACTGCTAATATAGTAAATGAGCAGTTTAGGAACTCCTCCATCTTTCTGTTGGTACCAGGATAACCAATTACTATAAATATTCTGACTGGTCGTACACTTGATGCTCACAGATCCTCCCACAGCAGAGCTCACTGCTCCAGGCTGAGTCACTGTGATCTGTCCTCTGGACTCTGAGGACACAGAGACAAAAACATAAAGCAGCTTCATGGTTTTGTGGGCTTCATTTCAGAGGGACAGATGTTGATAGAGGAGAGGAGTTTGATTCTCTGGACTTTACCTGTGAAGCAGCAGCAGAGGAGAGTCCAGATGAGGACGCAGATCAAAGTCATGTTTTTGATGAGGAGGATTTCTGTGGCTTCTGTTGTGATGAAGGACAGCTGTCAGTCATCCAGTGTTCAACTCTCAGGACTATAAACTCTCCCAGAGCACTGGAGCATGGTGCTGCTGATGCAAAGTGCCTCTCTATGGAAATCATCTGAATCAAGGACATGTAATTATTTGTTCTTTGCACAGTTTTGCTTTCATCAGCTTCTGAAATGAAAAAGTTTAGTTTTTCAGTACAAATAAACAGAATAGAGCCCTTTCATCACTGTGAAAACAGGTCCTTGAATATTTAATCATAAATCCTTAAATAATTCTTGGTCAGTGATGCATTTTTCAGGTACAAAGAAAATTTTATTATCATTTTTAATGAGATGTGCAAAGGGCCCTTGAATTCTGTGCATTTAAAAGTGGAGTAGAACCAACCACAAAATCACCTTCAATTCATCATCAGGTGATGGTTTAAAGCAGGGGTCTCAAACTTGCGGCCCGTTTACTAATGTTGCAGCTTTTAGGCAGGGATGACTCCGGGAGTTGCTTTCTCACTGCATATGCTTTATTTCACAATCAGATCGATAACAAAAACATACAGCAGCTCCTCTCCTACTCCTAGCCCTTTGCTGCGGTGGAAAAAGAACGACTCCAATCCCCTTCAAGGAACATATGTACAAAAGAGTTTTCCTGACACACCAATGGGGCGTTCAATGCCATCTTGTAAATATGAGTACTCTGGCAGAATAACAGTTCAAATGAAAAATACACCAGAACAAACAAGCAAACAAAAAAAGAAGTGTGGGGTACCTTTGAACCAATGAACAAAGTATAACAATTTATACTTTTTAACATAACCCGGCCCCGTCAATATGTGTATCTCTCACACTCTCCCCCACTCGAGAAATGTCGTCCCGACATAAATGTACCTTATAATCTACAATCCATAGGGAATAATAGAATGGCATGGACTATTTACCAGGTTACATTACACCCTTTTTTTTTTAAGTTACCCAAACTACCGTGCACTGTAGTTGTGTATACTCCTGAAATAATCAGTTTAGCTTTCTTTTTTTTTTTTTTTAGTCCAACATTCACTCTATCAAATTACCATGCTATGTGTACTCTCCTGTAAGGGCATTAACTTTGTCCACATCACATCTGAACACTAAGCATCTTCCCTTTACTCATACACATGTTCGGCCTGCAATCCATGTGTCACGATATTTCAATCAACATAGGTACATTTGTTACAATCTGAAATAGGGGTACCAAGTGTAAACATTATATCTTCTTCTTTTACCAAGGTCGCCAGTAACCTTGAATATTCACACATTTGGTGGCCACTATTCTTTCTTCAAGACTTGGTTGTCCAAGTTTACTATAGGTCAAAGTCTGTGGTCTCCTCCTTTCTCTCTTTGGGTATGGACTTGGCTGGTCTGTTTCCAAAGCCTCTTCGACATCAGAGCTGCTGTCCACCTCCCCTGCATCCACAATAGCCACATCCTCTGGTTCCATATTGTCCATTTTCTCCTCATCAGCTTGGCTGGGGTCCCCCTGGCCATCTCCTGACATGTGAGGAAACTCATCTGGCTCACCCCCGTCCCTTAGTGGCATAAACTCTGCCGCTGTGGGGTCCAATGTAGGTGAACACTGAGGCTCAGGATAAGGCCAGGTGAAAACCGCATCAGAAAACTCATCTGTGTCCTCCTCCTCCTCACTCCCCACTGTGTTGGAGTCATGCATGTTTGTTTCCGTTTGTTATAATGTCTTTTCCTTGTTTTAGTACTCGTTACGGTTGCCTCCTTATCTGCTGGGAGCGGAAGAAAATCGCAAGGCAACAACATATTCCTGTGCAAAATCCTTGTCCTGCCTTTACCATTCTCTCGCTCC